CCAGACCTCTGTGAACTTCGGCAGGGCATATAGACAGACCCCTTCCATTGTATACAGAGTCCTAGAAGACAAACATGTTGGGGCCAAGACCAAACACTAAGAGAAGCTCTTGTATAATTTATACTATGTGCTACCCATCTCCATTTTACAGATAAGGAAACTGAGGCTGGGGAGGAAGAGTTTTTCCAGAGCTGGGGGTGACTGATGTGTCCTCAAGACACTTAAGGGCTTGCCTGCAGGTTCAGACTGAAGGGCCTGTGTGGTGGTCAGGAGTGTGACGGTATGTGCTGTCCCTGAGAGGGTCACATGATACTATCTCAGGGCAGAAGCAACTTATTCACTACTTTAGTACGTTTCTCCCTGAGCACCTCCTCAGAAGCATCCATCCTTCTGAAAGCTTTTGGCCAACAGGCTAGGGTAAAGGAACACATTTTTATACTGCACAAGAGACAAAGGAGGAGGTGGTATGCCCAAGGTCACACCATACACGGCAAGAGGTACTAGGGGAGGCAGTTGGGGGACTGACCATGGACAGAGCCCACACGATGCCTCTTCTTTCCAGGAGGATTGAGAGCACAGCTTTCCAGGCCGAGCCTTATAGCGTCAGAGTCATGGATGAAAGGTGGTAGCAGGCCAGCCCCAGCCAAGTGCCTTCTCTCCAGGGCTAGTCTAGAAGCTGGTTCCCTCCTATCCAGGAGCTTACCAGCCCCCTTCCGCCCCCACTCCCAGTCAGGAAGTCTACCTTCTCATTCCCTGGCAAAGGAAAACCATCACCCCCTCCAGACATATTCTCAGTGATATTGGAACAGATGTTTGAGCTGGAGCGACACACACTGACAACAGAATCGGCTCAGAGACAAACACACAGGCTGCTGATGTGACTCCCAGTGTCTGGTACACAGCAATAATGAAGACCCTCACAACAAAACCATGCTATTTTGGGAGGCTAGAGTATAGGATCCCAAGTTCCAGGCCAGTCTGGGAATATGTTCTAAGTTTCAGGCCAGCTCAGGAACATATACTCTACATAAAATCAACAAAGCAAAACGAAAAGAAAACCAAGTCCGGTATGGCGGCGCACCGTTTAATCCCAGAACTGGTGAGGCAGAGGTGGTGGGATCTCTATGATTTTTGAGGCCAGCCTGGTCCATGTAGTGAGTTTCAGAGCAACCAGAGCTACGTAAAGACTCTGTCTCAAAATAAAATAAAACAACAAACCCCCATGCAACGGAGCGACACAATTGTGTACATCAGAGAATGCTGCTCAGCAGCACAGGGGCTGTGTGCACATGAGCGTATGCAAAGTGCCACCCAGGGCCACCAGGCAGGAAGCAGAGTATGCCCACCAGTCCACATTCATGTTACAGGCCTGTGACACACACTCACAGACACTATACACACACACAGGTACGCGAGAAAGAAAAACGGATGCCCCTGGAGATACAATCACAGACCACTCAACAAACACGGACAGATGAAGCCAGGACACAAACTTAAAGGGGGAACAAACTCGCTGCTGTGTTCTTGTGTTTGCCACGCTACCTACACACTTACATGGACACCTAGGGCCATGCATGTAGACCACACGGCTGTGCCGGCTTTTCTAGCTAGGAAGCCTGAGAATTCCCCTCCCTCGGCCGCCCCTGAACTCTCCTTTCCCTGAAATATAGCTATGCCTCCTGTCCCCATCTCTAGGAACAGGACAGGGCTTTTTTGCTTGCTCATAGGCCCAGGGGCCCGAAGGTGGACCATGTCGGGTGAGATTTCTGCAGTCACTCCTGAGGAAGCTCACCATCACGGCCTGTTGTTGTAACATGGTGAGGAAGGCAGCCTGAGATCCCAGGACCTAACTAGGGAAGATCTGGGAAATGTTTCTGTCGGAAATCCACCTCTGCAGGCCTCCCTCACCCAGAATGCCTCTGGCCACAGTACGTGGGTCCACTTGCTTCACCTGGCAATACCTGTACGAGCCTATAGGACCAACCTACAATTTTCTGTATTTCTCCTCCCATCCCAAAGTCCAGTGCCAAAGATTCACTCTATACCTGGGCACAACTGCCCCCACCTACCGTTGGCCATGGTCAACACCTGCACATTTTCAAACTCCAGGGTGGTGTAGGCTGGGTCCAGAGCGGCACTGTAGTCGGCCATATCCATGTCGACGAGGGTTTTAGAGAGTCGCATTCTCCCCTACCCACGGCTCAGCCCCCTGTCCTGCCCTGCCCAGGATGCCACCCAAGCCCCTGGGCTGAGCCCCAGCCCCCGTCCCCGCCCTCTCCCTGCCTCCTCCCAGGTCCCTTCTCTGCCTTCCTCTGTTTCAAACTGTCCTCTGGGAGACTCAGCCTGGCGTCCTGGCCTAGCCTCTGCAGAGGGTGGAGGCTCTGTGGGGAGGGGTGGGGGTTAATGGTTAATCACCCCCGTTGCTGGGTAGGCTGGGTGGAGCCACGGGGATTTGGCTGTTTGTTGGTTTCTGACTGACACCTGGGGTGCTAATTACAACTGTTGGGCCCCAGGTCATTAATATTCAGTTACCAATCTTCCAAGGCAGGAACTGGACAGGACTGACATTTGTCAAACCCTTACCTCAGCAGCCCCCAAGCCAACATCCCTCCAAGTTGGATATCCCAGCTGACACACTTAGACACTGGCATGTCTATCTCCAGAAAGCCCTCATCCAACCACTTCCCAAATCATTGACTTCCATCCTCAGTGCTGTGAATGAGATAAAGCTGTCCCAGGGACAATGAACTGGGAATCTGGACCCCAAGACCCACCCTGGATCTTTTGGATCCTTGCTGAAGAAGACTCTTTGTGATCCCTTCTGGGTTCTCACCTGCCCCAGGAGCCACCTGGACCCACATATGAGTTCCTTGCCTGATCCCTGACAGCTCCCGGATGGCCCCCTGTCACACCGAATGCTTCCACAGCCCCCACCCTTCCCAAGCCAGGCACAATCAGGCCCTCAGACCTAGGCTTACGCTCAAATACCTACCATCTGCTAACTATGACTTCTAGGTAAAGGGTTCTCCTTCCAAGCCTTGGTTTCCCTCTTGATCAAATCCACAGTCAATCTGAAGGGATCGTTTGGGCATTACATGAGACCTAAAAATAGCTGTTAAGGTACACAAGCCGGTGCCTCACCCCCAACCCATCATTTTCTGCTATGTAGCCAAGGCAGTGCTCAAATTCTTGACACTCCTACCTCACCTCCCAAGAGCCAGAATTAAGAGGAATGTGCCACCATGCCCAAGTAATTCCTCTTCTCATTTTGTGTCCCCTTTCTGCCTCCCTGTTTCTCTTGTCCCTCTCTTCTTCCCTTTGGGGTGAGCTGCATGGATGTACCCCCGTACAGTCACAGGGAGATAGCTCAGAATGTCTCTGCACGTCTCAACACTCATTCCAGGCTTTAAGTTTCTGTTTTTAGATTAAAAATGATGATCTGAAAAAAAAAATGATGATCTGTATAAACGTTTTGCCAACATGTATGTCTGTGCACTGCATGCATGCCTGGTGCCCGTGGAGGCCAGAAGAGGCTGTTTGGACCCCATAGGAACTGGAGTTACAGACAGTCGCGAGCCACCATGTGGGTGCTGGGAATTGAACTCCAGTCCTCTAGAAGAGCAGCCAAGGCTCTTAACTGCTGAGCTGTTTCTCAGTCCTACATCCCCACCCCACCTTTTTTTTAAGCCTTTAAAACCTTTTTTCTTTACATTTTCATCTCATTGACCACATTCTTTATGGGGTTTGACTATGAGCTTGGTGCATCTGCTCCCTTGTACTTGTTTTGTTTTGGGTTTGAACAATTATGCAATCTCCCTGTGTGTTCTTCTCTGCTGACCTTTTTTTTCAAGATAGGGTTTCTCTGTGTAATAACTCTGACTGTCCTGGAACTTGCTCTGTGGATCAGGCTGGCTTTGAACCCGTAGAGATCCACCTGCCTCTGCCTCCCCAATGCTGAGATCAAAGGCGTGCGCGGCCCCCCGCTGCCACCGCCTCTGCTGACATTTTTCAGACTCCCACTCTAGCTGGGGAGAGAGAGTCACTAAGGGCTGAGAGTGAAGACAGCCGCTCGGAAAGCTTCAGGGCCTGCTTGAAAGAGGCATTCAGACGGCACAGTACTAACACAGAGCAGGAATGAGAGGCAGAGAGCGAGTGTGTGAGCCAGAAAAGAGAGTGACTAGGAGACGAGGTAATTAATGTCTGAGTTGATTGAATGAGCGAGATCCATGAGTGTGCAAAAGGGTAGACCAATGAGTAAGTGAGCGAGGCAATGGGTGTGTGAGTTAGAGAGCGGGCTAGGACACGCGCCTTGGCACCACATTGGCGCAGCCGCTGGAAGCCTTCTTTCTGTACCGCTTGGCTTCATTATGCCCCTTTCATCTTGTCCCTAGAGACAAGATGGTGGAAGAGAGTGTGGGAGGCAGTTGTGAGGAAGAGAGATTAGGATGGAGGGGAGGGGGAAGTGCCCTACGTTTAGAAGCTATACCTATCAGCCCGTAAGACAGCTCAGCAGGGAGAACACTTGCCTTGCATGCTTGCTGATCTGCATTTGATCCCTGGTACGCCCTGTTCCTGTCAAGTACATGTTCACAGGATCGGAAACAAATAGAAACATTTTCTGTCACTATTCAGGGAGCCTTTTAGTTCACCGCTCTTCTCTGGGCAACTCTCCCTTTCGTTACAGTCGGGGGAGGTCCTTGTCTTGTCCTCCACTTCTTGGTTGAAGGGGGAGGAAAGATCGGAACCTGCAGCCCACACCTTGAGATCCTAAAAAGGTCTGATGCTGACTTCGGACACTTTCAGGTCCTTTCCAGTTCCACTTGGCAACATCTGGTCGCAGAGATCTTGGGAGCAGGGCTGGCCTGGGAGGGAAGGGAAGACCTGTGACAGGGCCACCCACAGCTATTCCACGGCATTTAACATGTCTGTCCTACATGTGACTCGTCGCCCGGAAGAGACACAATTCCCGTTTTCTACAAGTGGAATGTGATCGTTAGCAAGTCAGAATTTTATTGGGTTAACAAACCAACAATGGGTCTTTTTATAGATGACAATGTAGAGTCCATTAAACACAGTCTATGATCAACTAGGGTTGGCCGGGACACATCGTGTAGAGACGGAGATCTATCGAAAGGACAAGGGAGCTCGCATGAGAAGAGCTGCTAGGTATACAAACCATGGCACACATGGCGTGTCACACAGTCCACACCCATGTCCCACCCTGTCACTACTCACCCACAGCAACCTACCCACCCAGCAATCATAAACTGCACAACTGTCTCATTCAGAATTCCTTCTACCTTCAGCTTATTCTGGGTAATTCCCTCCCGGCCACCTTCCTTCACCAGGTAGGCCAGCTCTGCGATCATACCCATACCCTCCTGGAGTCAGGGATGAGCTATTTTGAATCTAGTGTCTCTGTAAAACGGGCCTAACCTGTGAAGTTTGTTGTTGCTGTTGTCTGGGGATGATTAAGTGAGATCTGTCAGTCACCCGGCTGTCCCTGCTCTTTGTTTCTATAGGTCATGGAGTCTAACCCACGTGGATCAAAACCCTCGCCTCAGACTGTGCTTCCGTCAGGAAAATGAAGTGGATCCGTGCCACAGGTGGGCCACTGTGGGCAAGAAGTGACCAGGGTGTAAGTCAGTCCTGATGCACAGGTTCAGGGACTGACACTTTGGATGGGAAATCCTAGGGGCAAAAGGGTGTCAGAGCCGGGCATCATGGACACGTGTGCTATCCCAGCACTTGGAAGGTAGAGGCGAAGAAGATGAGGCGTTAAGACCGGCCTGGAATATGTGAGGCTTTGTCTCATCAACAGCAGTAACAAAAGGACTGGAGAGGTGGTTTACGAGGTGCTTGCCTCATGAAATTGTTGGCCTGAGTTCGATTCCTGGAGCCCACAGAAGGAGAGGACCATCTCCTAAAGCAAAGTCGTCTGACCTTGACGAGATCGTGCCCACCCCCACTGTGCCTCTCTATCTCTGCCTCTACCCCTACCTCACCTATCTCTCTCTTCCCACAAATTAAATATCTTTTATTTAAAAATAATCAAAGGTTTCTGGGGAGATGGCTCAGTGGGTAATGTGCCTGTTGTACAAGCACGAGGACCTGAGTTCAGATCCCCGGCACCCACATGGGGAACCGGGCATGGTGTTGCGTGTTTCTGATCTCAGTAATAGGAGGCAGACACAGGAGGCTCCCAAGGCTTACTGTCCAGCCAGCCTAACCAATCAGTGAGCTCCAGGCTCAATGAGAGACCTTGTCAAGAAACAAAGTGGGAAGTGACAGAAGTAAACACCTGATGTCAGTTCCACACGTACACACACACACACACACACACACACCACATATGCATATACATCCCACACATACATGTGCACGTGACTGAATAAACCACAAACATGAAGACACATAATACCAAAATTATTATTACCATTGCTATTACTATTTCCGTATACCTATGTCAACATGTACAAACAGGAGATATTTATTTATTTGATATGGAGTCTACTGTGTTACCCAACCTGGCCTTGAGCTCCTCGGTGCAAGCCATCCCCCTGCCTCTGCCTCCTGGGGGTTGGAACACAGGCAAGCACCACTTGCCTGACCATTGTACAGATATTTTTTTTCTTGTCATTACTCCTTAAGTAATTTAACTTAACAACTAAAAGCTAGTTATGTAGCACTCCCAAGGTGGCACACACAGCCTGAAGATGGCTAAAAATCCGGTGGGCTGTGTACTGGTTGTATGCAAATACAACAGTCATTGATATCAGGTGTTGTTATCAAGTGCGTGTGGATTTGGATATCTGAGGAGGATTCTGGAACCTCCCTCATGGATGCCCAGGAATACAATGTACAACAGTAGTGATTGTCATCAATGGTTGGGGACTCCTGACTCCACTGGGACTCAGAACCCCTACTCTGGGGAACTCCTAGGTTTTTCAGCCTGGATACCTTCAGTGTGGGACTTGTTCGTCACCTCTGTCCTTTCTTGTTGAGCGGCCAGGCCTCAGCTCAAGGAGTGGCAGCCTCTGGAAGAGATGAATTCAAAGCTTGCCTGGAGGGCCAACCTCTTCACCTTGTAGCCGGGTGAGCAGGAAAGAGGATGGTCCAGAGAGGTGGCTGCTGGCCAGGAGCTGAGCTGGGAGATCACATCTCTGATGTGAGTGGAGGTTAAGGGCCTGCCATAACGGATCATATCCTTCTCCCTCGCTCTGTCTGGGTAGCCCGGCATGGCTTTAATTTCCCATCCCCCTGCTTCTTTCTTCTGAGGGCTGGGGTGGCAGGCGTGTGCTACCGTGGCTGGTTCATACAGTGCTTCAGACCGAAGCCCTTCTTCACTCGTGCTAGCTAAGCCCTCTCCTGACTGAGTAGCATCCTTAGCCCCTAGAGCAAACTGTGGTGACAACAAATGTCGTGGACGCATGTGTCCGGCCTCAAGATAAGAACCCAAGTCTTCTCACATTTCCTGAGGCCCAGAATGTCCTCACGGTATAAGATCAAATGAGACTCAATAAGATAAAAATACATTTGCCCAAGGACCATGACCCGTACAGCAGAGGAGTCTGACATTTGGATCAAGGCTGACTCTGGGGCTCAAGGGCCTCCCCGTCTGTGTTGCCCCCCAACTCCTGGGGGCCCTGGAATAGCTACAGTGTCCTGGAGATTGGGTCTGGCTCCAGCTGGTTTCCCTATCGCAGTACAGAAGGGGCGTTGTCTTGAACCTGAGTAGCCAGGGCTCTGTCTCTGACCACATGCAGGTCTAGAGGCACACTACAGACACCCAGCCACCTGGGGCCACCTGGCGCCTTGGCTTCTCCTCTCCTGAGCTCACCTCACCTCTATCTCCTCTCCTTCCTCCCCCACCTGCCACCCGGGGTGCAGGGCAGGGGAAGCTAGCACTTATCAAGACAAAGAACAAAAGTCGTGGGGGCAAGAAGCCAAGAGCCATCTCTATTCTGGGGTAGGTAGGGCCTTCAGCTTCGCCCCTTTGAAATTTCAAATTCCAGTTTGTGGACAAAGTCCTAACTATCTCACAATATAGGTCCCCAACTGCTGACCAAACTCCAGTCCAGGCAGCCACCTGGCCTGAGACTGGCCTGGCTTTGCCTTTTCCTTTGGCGAGACCCAAGGGAAGGAGCCCTAGGCAGCTGGGACCTACTAGGCCATCCTGAAGCCCCCAGCTCACTACCAAGGAATCTCTGTTCCTATCTGAGAGAACCACCTCTGTCTGAAGCTGGAATCTGATTCTTGTTGGTGTCAACAACTGAAACCAGGTAGGTGTCCTCTTGGGGGCCTTTCTGCTCCTTTTTGAGCTCCTGAGCTCTGTCCACCATGGCTCAGTCTCACTGAGACTTCCTGGAACTTCAGACTGGAAAAACCATCTTGTAAGCCACCCAGAGGTCAGATGGAGACCCTGAAGACCTTGCCGCAGGTTGGAAGTTGGGCTAAAGACTTGGGGCCCCTCCACAGGCCCAGAGGGGAGAAGGGACTTGCTTTAGGCTAATTAGAGGTGACTAATGAATTCTGTCTTAATAAAGGGGACTCCATTGCCTTCCCAACTCAGACTGTGGATGACTGCATGTTGCTTCTACACAATGACTGATGGCCCCCGGCTCACTCAGGGACCACAATATATCAAAGAGGACGATGAGGGAGCTGAAGGCCGTGGTTTTAGAAGGAAACTACACTTATGTGGTTAACTGATAACTGGGCCCCATCCCCGGGCCTCCAGTGGCCTCTTCCTCACTTTCTGTCCTCAGTGTGATTAAGATGAACTTACCCGTCTGCTAATCATTGCTGAGTCTGTTGGTCTTGCTTTAAAAAATTAACTGGGCATGAGTTTGCGGTTTGCCTCATCCCTAACCCTGAAAAGGCCCGGGGTGGGCAGGAGGCCTCCTAGGTTATGCAAGAGGCCACTGGCCTCTCCACACACCTCCAACAGCCTCCGCTGCGCCCTCCGGAGGGGTGGCTTTGCTCAAGAGTCAACAGCGTGCATGTGCCCCGGCTCTGGGGCCTGAGCATATTTGCTCTGTTACCGCAGGGAGATAAAGGCAGCGGGAAGCATCCGAAGGGGGATGTGAAGCAGCAGATTTTGGTTCTAATGTCCCAGCCAGGGAATCTTCGGTGGGACGCAAAGGAGGCTTTCAAGTTGGATCCTGGGGTTCCCAGGAGCCCAGAGGGGACCAGATGGTGCCTTCTTAGATGAGATCCTTTGGTTTGTTTTGGTTTTTTGAGACAGGTTTTCTCTGTGTAGCCCTGGCTGTCCTGGAACACACTCCGTAGACCGGACTGGCCTTGAACTCACAGAGATCCATCTGCCTGTGCCTCCCAAGGGCTGGGATTAAAGGCTGTGCCACCACCACCAGGCATCAGAAGAGATGGTAACAGTTCATTTTCAAGCCAAGAAAACCCTGGCCCAGACCCAGCAGATAGGGAAACAGAGAAAGAAAGGGGGTGCATCTTTCTAAGAACAGGCTGTTTTTGATAGCCTGGGTCTCCTAGGGCCTGAGTGTTGTGTTGAAGGACTTCAAGGGCAAGGGGCTTCCCCTCTGCTGACTGATCTCTGAGAGCTACCAGCGGCTAAGTCAGGGGATGTCATCTGTGTCCTGCAGGCCTGTGAGTAGTCCCTGCAGCAGGTGTGTGAAGTAGAGGCAGCTCCTAGCTTTGACTGTATCTCATCTCTGGAAGCATCAGATCCCTAGAGAAAAGACACGGAACCCAGAACACTTCCCTGACTGTCTAGACCCTTTAGCTTCTGTTTCTTCCCTTCTGAATTGAGAAAATGCCTACATTTTAATTTTCTCCCATGAGGATGAAATAGTGTCAAAGACACACAGAGCCAATGTGCAGACATTTGTATCAGGGGGCTTCGTTCATGAATCCTCGCACTGATCTGGGGCTGGGGTGTTTTTTTTTTTTATCAGCGGTTTGTAAAGCAGCTGGCCCAGAGACGTTGAGTCATGCGCCCAAGCTCACACAGTTGATAGGAAATAAAATGTAGGACTCAAATTCATACTCACTCCAGAACCTGTATTCCTGGTCCCCAAACCACCCCATCCTTAGAAGACTTTCCTGGATATAGTAAGTACCCAGGGAAGGCGGGCAGGATAAGGACGGGGAAGCAGCTGTGAGCAGAAAGCAGTGCACTGTGGGAGATGCGGATGGGGTAGGTTTAGGAGGTCTGAGAAGTGGATGGTCAGCAACGATCAGGAAAGAGGCCAGGATTGGGTCCCGTGGGTGGTGTTTCCTGTGGGCTGTTTGCCTACTGCCAGGTGGCTTATGACATGTGGGCTGAGGGTGTCACTGTCCTGTTTGTGTTCTGTGAGGTGACCTTAACCTTTGTAGGGCCTAAGGGGTGATGGGGAGCCTCTGATAGCCCAAGTCGTGGTTTTGGGGGGCATGAGAAATGATTCTGCCATTCAGAAGTCACCCTTAATCCCCCTGACTTTGGTCCGGAGGGAGTCCCGGGGATTTGTCTCAGGTTATCAGGGTAAAGTAAGTATTTGGGAATTTTGAGACAGGCCAGGATCACTGTGTACGGGCTGTTCATTGCACAAATGTTCTAGGCAAGAGGGCTGAGGTGGGGGATGGGGTAAGGGGTGGAAACCAAGCCCTAGTTCCAAAGCCCCAGGGCCTGACTTAGCAGGAGGGGTTTCCACTTCTTTGAACATAAGTTCCATGAAAGTCATTGACTGCCTGGTCCCGGCTTTGTTTTTAGTCGTACGTGGTTCAGGGAAAAGGCCATTGCTCTCCTTGGCCCTGGTTTCTCACTTTGGGAAACCTAGCAGAATTTCAGTCCAGATAATGAAATGGAACCACCTGAGATTGTTCTGGTTTCGAGACAGGGTTTCTCTGTGTAGCCCTGGCTGTCCTGGAACTCGCTCTGTAGACCCGGCTGGCCTCGAACTCAGAGATCTGCCTGCCTCCCAAGTGCTGGGTTTAAAGGCATGTGCCACCACTGCGGGGCTCACCTGAGACTATAGAAGGGTTTCCCACCCTGGTTTTGAAGGGATTGTGCTCAGGGGTGGCATGCTGGTCTAGCCTGTGACAGGCCCTGGGTTCCATCCCCAGCACTGCATGGAGAATAAAAGAAAGATGAAACAAAGATTCCCAAGTCCTATCACAAACCGACAGACAAATCTTGGGGTTGGATAGTCAGGTAGGCAAGGCAGCACATACCTGTAATCGCAGCAAGAGGCTCCGAAATTCCGGGCCAACCTGAGCTACATCCTGGTGAGTGGAAGGCGCTAGCCTGAGCTATGTAGCCACACTCTTATCCCAAAACAAAAATCTGGCGTCACATGCACAGTGCTAGGTGTTGGAAATCCCCAGAGAAGTCTGGTGGGCGGCCATAATTCAGAACTTCTGTGGGGCCACTGGGAGCTTGAAATGCTTTAATGTGGGTCCAGGTTTGACGATGTATGACTCAAACCTATGGTGAGGCTCAGTTTCTCTACCTGTGAGGTGGGTCAGGGGATAACTGCTCACAAAGTCAGAACCGCTGACTCATGGGTGGTGTTTACACCACACCTGGCTCTGTCTCCAGTTTGCAGACAGCTCCGATTCCAGGTACCAATGGCTTTTGCTGTTATTATTGGCAACACCATATTGGCTTCCAGGTCAAGGATGAAATGACAGGAGCTAATTCCTAGGACGTGCACCGCAATCTTGGCTGCACACCCGTTGTCATGGAGGTGCATGTTGTTGTTGTTATTATTATTTACTATTTTACCCCATTTGTTAAAGTTTTTAGTCTTTAGTCCTTGCTACATTGCTATGGCTCTAAATCCAGATATAAGTAGGCCCCTGCTGAGAAGCCTTGCTTCCCTGGGCTCTGTTCGTCACCTCCTGGGTTCTGCACCATCCTGGCCGTTTCTTACTTTTCCTTGTCTTCCTGGAGCTTGCACAGACCCCGCGCTGTCACTCAGCCTCCTGCACTGCTCCGCACTGGGCTCTTCTCGCTTTCTGTGGTGGTCTGTAGGTCACCTGACACCATTAGGGCAAGCCTTGGCCAAGGAGAAGCTCAGCCGAGGACACTTAGTCTCCTGGGGCGCCGAATCTCTGGTTTTTATTTTCTCACAGTTTCATACAGGTAGCTTAGTCTGGCCTTAAACTTGGTATCTAGTGGAGAATGACCTTGAACTTCCCATCCTCCTGCCTGTACCTGGGATTACGGGTGTGCACCATCCCGCCTGGTTTACACAGTGCTGGGGATGGAACCCAGAGCTTCATTCCCAGTAGACAAGCACACCACCAACTAAGTTCCTGGGGAGTCCCTGGGCCTGACATTTCCTTCCTGGTTGCTGGATTGCCAGGACATCCCCAGAGAGGCTAAAGGGTGAACAAGCCATCAAAATCGGGACCCGGAGACTAGCCGTCCCTTCGGTGGCATGGTCAGGGCTTTGTGGTCAAGTCCCCTAGCACTGTGGAGCCTGTCTAGAACTCTCTGCCAGCCTTCAATTGAGTGGTTTTATGACTGGGGAAGTCAGCAAAGGAAAGCAATAAGAAGGGAAGAAAGCGGGGCTGTGAGACAGGCTGCTTCAGGCTTCTGGGCACAGAGGGAGCAATGTGACAGGGGCTTTGTTAGTTTCTTTTTTGACCAGTGTTCTGTTTAGGCTACTTTGAGGTCTCCTCTGAATTATTCACCTGTTTTACTTTACTGACTTTGAGAAACTCACTTTCCTCTCTTTCTGTCTCGGTTTCCCCAACTGAAAAAATGAAGATTACATGGTTGATTAGCCTTGGAGTATCCCCTAAGAGTCTCTTGTTGAGGGGCTCTGAACCCTATTTTGATCAAATGTCCATCTCCTATTAGGGCTTTCGGCCTTCCTGAGCTGGGGCTAAAGTTTCCCACATACCCTGAATTCTGGACTTCTCCCCGAGTTCCTCGTCTCTCTCCCACCACCCTGAGCTTCCTTCTAGACAGGTGTGAACTCAGGAGCATACCTGGTGGGTCCTGGGGAAAGCCCTGGCCCCCGTCCGACATCCTCTTCCTGGTCCTATGGGGTCACAAACGGTGGGCAACCTCCTCATCCTTGAACCACTTCCTGCTGCCTCTCTGGCACCCAAGACCCTGGGAGGGCTGCGGACTAGTTAATCCCTTAATACTGGTCACAATGAGATTTCGGGGATGGTGGGAAGTGGTCACCATGGAGACCAAAGACCTTTCCAGAACCCATGGGAGTAACCTCAAGTCCCAACCTACATAGAAATGAGAAGCACAGAAGCTGCCTTTGGGGACCCACTAAGACCTCCTGCTGTCTCTTCACGTCTCCTGCTACACTGGGAGCCAACACATTTGTAGAAAGAGTCCTTTACCCCTCTGAGCGCCAGGATCCTTGTCCTCCTTTTGGGGCTCTGGTCCTCAGCACAGTAGCTTTTTCTAGAAGAGCGCAGGCTCCCTTCTGAGTCTCTTAGACGTGAGCTCGAAGCTCCACTTTCCCTTCCCAGTCTATCCCTTCCTGTCCTCAGTTTCCCCATATGTAAGCTGAGTACAGTAAAGCCACCCTGGCATCACCCGGGAGTCCGCTGGTAGGTAGTGACACCCAGTGGCTGGATGACACTCCCTCCTCAGCCACCTGCAGAGCCCCAGGCCTTTGCCCTACTCTCTGACAGGGCTGGGGGTCCCACTTGTCTTGGTCATCTTTCTCCATAAAAGGCCTGATGACCTGGGTGGGCTTAGGGACTCCTCCTCTGTCCCTTCACAACCCCAGAGTTTTGCACAGTATTTACCACAGTCTAATCAGATGGCGACTCCCTCCTCCTTTGTACTGCCTGCTCATCACTGTTTTTCAGGGACCCAGTGGTGCTTAAAATAAATGGGTTGGCCGAGGAAACGAGGGAAGGATTGAAGGAATCCACCTATCCAAGCATTCAGCTTTATCAGCACCGTTATTGTGGAGGCTGGAGATTGAGCAAGGAAGACGGTGGGCAAGGGCCTTCCCTTAGAGGATTGCAGTTAGCGGTAAAAATAAAAACACCCAGTGAAATTGTAACTTCATTAAAACAACATATACTTTGTAGCATAAGTATATCCCAAACAATACATTAGACATACTCATAGTATATATATATATGGGGTGGGGCCCGGGAGATGGCTCAGCAGGTAAAGGTATGGACTCCCGGCTTGTCTCTGGAAGAAGACATCCTTGCAGGTTTGTAAGTGGAGATTGTTCTTTGGTTTCCCTGCTGCCCAGATCCGAATAATCACACAGAAACTATAAGGACATCCCACATCACAGGCTGTCTCTGACCTCCACAGGAACAGAGGCCTGTGGCCACCTGCTCACTCTCACATACACCACAAATAAACATAAAAATATGTTTAAAGTTTAAGGAAGGATGTGGCTTATCTCAAGTCCAAATGGAGCTGAGAACCCAGGGCTGTGTCCAGCCACTCCATGCTCCGCCTGGCCTACTTGTATCTTGGTGGGAAGGTGGGGTGGGAACAGGTAGTAAAGGAAGTAGCTAAAAAAGGAAGTGAATTTTAAATAGTGAGCCATGGCCAAGAACAAGGAAGCTGAGAGCCAGGACAGCACCTGGTGGTCAGGTGACCCTTGCCTTGGAGAGGGGAGCTGAGCTAGCAGCCCTCTCCTGTGAGGAGACATCTTACATCCCAGTGAGGAGTTAGGAAAACTTAAAGCCGTGATCCAGGAGCAGTGGTTCTCAATCTTTGGGCCGTGACTCCTCTGGGAGTTGAAAGACCCGCCTAAGACAGATATTTTACATTACAATTCATAACAGTAGCAAAAATTTACAATTAAGTAACAACGAAAATAGTTTTATGGTGTGTGTGTGTGTGTGGGGTCACTACAACCCGAGGAAGTGTATTAAAGGGTCGCAGCGTTAGGAAGGTTGAGAACCACTGCTCAGGAAGGACAGATAGGCAGGGGGCTGGCTGCTGGCTGCTGAGTCACTCGCCAGCCTGCAGTTCTGCACCTTGGATCTCGGCTTTCGCAATCCTCCGCAAACCCACGGTCCCACCCTCCCACCCCCACTCCCGGGTCAGCCAATGTTCTTGGCGAGGCTGAGAGCCAGAGGAAAGGGGCCAAAGGAGCTGCGCAGAGAAGCGTGGCCACCTAACAGAGCTCAGCGTCCCGACACCCTCTTCTGGCCTATCCCTCTCCCCCATTGCAGCAGGGCACTGGGTAGCTGGAACCAGGTCTGCAAATCTGTGCCCGGCACCGCTATTTAGCCGTCCAGAGCTCCTCCTAATGGCCAATATGGGAAATGTCACATAAATTCCTCAGAGGCCTCAGTGCAATCCAAGCCACTCTGTACCAATCAGAATGCAAGGTAAAAACAAACAAACAAAAAAACCCTGACCCCCAAGGCCTTTTGTTCTGCATTTCCAACTTCCCACGTTCGGTTTCCTACCCCTGGTGCTTCCTTTGAGGAAGTCCCCAGGCCTTCATTTGCATTCATCCTCACTTATAATGGCATTCATAACATTAAATGCCACTCCCCCATCACAAAAGTTAACATGGAGGCTGGAGAGATGGCGCAATGCTTTTAGGAGTGCTTCCTGTCTTTGGAGAGGACCCTTGCACCGATGTGGCAGCTCAGAGCCTTCTGTACCTCCGTTTCCACGGTCTCCGATACCCTTTTGGCCTCCATTGCTCCTGCACACACGGTACAAATAAACTCACACAAACATACATATACACCACACCTGTGTACTCTAAAATTAAGTTAGCAGAAGATATGAGTGAAAATCACATCTAGTTATTAACGAGGATCATATTAAACACGCTGGAAGCTTTGTGCAACAGGATGGCCTGCTCCATCCCTAGGTTCTTAGCATCCTCATCCTCACAACAAGCTGTCGTACCTAACCCCCCACCGTCCTGTCCTTCCAGAGTCGTCATCAAAAACCCCAGTCCACACCACCTCCACGGTAGCTAGAATTTTCGTTTTTTTTTTTTTTTTTTTTTTTTCGCTCCAATACAGCCAGCTTTGGCACAATCGCCTTGTTTTCTGGAAACCAGCAGAAGTCTTTATACAGCTCTTCCTTGCCCACTCTGGCTCCTGTGCCACCTACTCTTTACACGAACCTGAGGGTGCGCATGCGCAAACATACCTTACCCCCGACCTACTCTTTAAGCTTCCACAGTGCCATTCATGCAGCTCACAGAGCTCCCATCCCAAGGGCTTTACTACCGTGTCCCATGTCTCCAACCTCCTGTCACTCCTCCGTCTGTTTTCCTTTGTGTCTCGGGGCCTTTGCGCATCTCCTTTCATGCCCTGGAGAGGGAGTGGATCTTCAGCCCTGGACTCGTCCCTTTCCCACGCTTTGTATGAGTTCTGCGCCTTCCTCAACCTTTATTCTCTATTATGCCTTCCTAGCATGTCAACTTGACACGGCCCGTGCGTTCAGTTACTTGTTGACAATCTATTCCCCCTTCTCCAGCCCCTGCTGTGGAGATGCCCTCTGACTGCTTCCCTCATAGTACACCCCAAACCTTCAACAGCTCCGAATGAGACCAAGAAAAAGCAGCTAATAGAGATTTGTTTGACAGAGTTCTCTGAGGAGGCCTCTGAGGAGGAATTGATGAGGATGCTTACAATGAGCTCCTCGGGTAAAGGTGCTTGCCTCTTGGCTGGATGACCTGAATTCAATCCCTTCAAATACTCCTCCAGGGTCTCCCAAGGACTGAAGCCTTGCGCCCCATGAGAGGCTTTCAGCTGTGGGTCTCCCCTTGCCTCCCTCCCCTTTCCAGCTGCCTGCTCTTCTGTCCTTTCAAAACAGAACAGTGCCGGAGCCTAGCCGCAGCCCAGCTCGCTCCAGAAACTAGATAAAGACTGGCCAGTTTGTGAAGGGACAGCACCCTCACCAATAGGCACGAAGTATCTGTTTATAGAAGGGTTGCCAAGCTCACCTTCTCTGGTCCCTAGGAACAGGGGCTCAAAGGCCAGGTGCAGGGCATCAGTGAGTAAGGACAGGCTAATTGAAGGGGGCTGGACTAGTCTACCCTGGTCTGTTCACATTGGTCTACGCTCTTTCCAGGCAGGAGGTAGCTTCATATTTCTGTTCTCTGAAGTAGGACGTGACTGTGACACTTGCCAGCGAGATGTGAGCAGAAGAAACAAGTAGTGCCGGCCCCAGTCCGAAGCTTTGAGACTAGTCGGCTTCAACAGGGTGGGTATTGAGTAATCGTGGTCAGGAGCGCCCCCTTCTGACCTTGGAGGGAAATGCACTGTAAGAGAGCTAGAAACCAGCTAAGCGGAGCCAGGCATGGGCCTTTTGGTCACAGACTAGCCGTTCCTGATCAGTTGGGACAAACTTCCTAAAGGTATCACAGATTTCCCCAAGACCAGAATTGCTTCTGTCATCTGAAAGCCATTTCAAATGCTACCTACACACACATTTTCTTGCACGAGATCACGTCTTTTTACTGAGTTTTATGGTATAACTTTTTTTTTTTTAAACTTTTTGAGGCAGGGTCTCACGGAGCCCAAGCTGGCCTCAACTTGCTAGGTAGCTGAGAATGAGCTGGTTCCACTTTCCTAGTGCTGGAACTGCAGGAATGTGACTCTAAGCCAGTTTTTATGCATCGCTGGAGATGGGGTGCTCACACTTGCTCGGCAAACACCCCACTGATTGGGCTACATCTCCAGCCCTAGATTTATTTTCAAAAGAAATCTTATTTCCATCAAGTGAAATATCATCCCCTAATTAGAAAGCAATGGGAAGCAATCATAACGAAATAAACCATTTTGTTAACTCCTGATTTGAAATAGTTTGCCTCGGTGTCCCTGGTCTGTCCCCTCTCTGTTAAAAAAGCAAGGGTCCCCTACCACCCAGTGGAGATGGTTAGAAAGTGTGGCACCAGAGCCATGTCAGGGCTGGTTAAACAGATTCTGACCCTTGACTTCCTGGCCTTGAATGTATGCACTCTACCACTGCACTGGACCCTCGGGTCTGTTTCCTCGCTTGTGAATATCTCTGGCAACCTGCAGCCTCCTGGGCTACCGTGGGGTCATTGGCACTGATGTGGGCAAAGGGCTGGAGCCGTGCCTGGCACACTGCGAGTGCCGCAAAGATGTCAGCTGCGAAACAAAGAAGGCTTAAGATCCGAGCTCCATCTGGCCCCAGTGGCACACTTCGGTGACTCCAGCACCAGGGTGGCTGCGGCAAGAGAATCGGGAGTTCAAAGTCAGCCTGAGCTGCAGCGGGAGGCCAGCACCGGCTACACGCTCTGTCTTAAAGAAACAAAACACAATGACCCAAATGTCTTTGATGTTTTTTTTTTTGTTTTTTTGTTTTTTTTTTTTTTTTTCGAGACAGGGTTTCTCTGTGGTTTTGGAGCCTGTCCTGGAACTAGCTCTGTAGACCAGGCTGGTCTCGAACTCACAGAGATCCGCCTGCCTCTGCCTCCCGAGTGTAAACACCATAGAGGATGGGGGGAAATTCCTCTTCGTTGGTTAAAAATAAATCCCAGGGATGCTGTGGATGGGAATGGCTCACTCAGTGGCAGGTGACAGATGTAACAGAGCCCTTGGTTTTATTTGGAGACAGCGACTCCAGCTCTACAGTGTCCTGTGTCACTCATGAGAATGCGGCGCTCAGGTTGGAAGAGCCAATGCCCTCTGCACACTGCTCTGAAATGACCAAAAATGGACACGGGATTTTCAGAGGGACACTTATGACAGGATAGTGTGCCTTTTGGGGAACGACTGAAGGTGTGGAGAGGAGTGGGCCGGACGCTAGGGAGCGGCAGAGAGAGGCAGTTCTGCTAAGGGCTGTGGCTGTGGCCTTTGAACTGTCTGATCCTGGGCAAGTTACAAGCTCTTCAGATCTTATTTGCTTCACCTACAAGATAGGACTCAACAATAGCGCCTCTTTATAGAGAGCTTTGTGGGGTGACTGTGATAAGCCTCACACACCTGGCATGCAGGTGCCCAGCGTGCAGCTATGCTTGGGTTCAAAATGGATCCCTAGACTGCTTACCCAGCACGTGAAAATTCCTGGGTCTCATTCTGGCACTGCAAAAAACAAAGACTTTCCTGGGAAATAAGAATTCTCTGGTTCCTACGACCCCAGGGAGCAAACCAGAATCAACAGACGGGAGAAAAACTTGGGCCAGTATGACTGTCCTACCAGGGACAATGCTGATGGACCCAGATGTTAGCTTCTTGTCACTAGGGTGGGAGGTTCTCAGATGCAAGTCCAGGAACCATGATGTCAGGGAAGATGGATTGTGGATCCTGGAAGCTGGTCAGAGCTGCCTCTCCAGTGGTCAAATATCTCAAATGAAATACGACTGAACCCAAACAGTGCAGACACGTGGGGTCCCCTCGTGTAAAAGAACAGGACAGGGTGTTGATAAGCTGGACAGGGTGGTGCCAGCGCTCAAAAGGTGGAAGCAGAAAGATCAGGGGTTCAAGGTCATTCTGGAGCACGGGAAGTTCCCTAGTGGGGTTCAGAGAGCTGTGTAGGATATGGGGACTCCTCACAGTTTCAGGCCATGATATACTGAAAGTGACCGGTCCCAATAAAGCTGACCTCAGTCTGCCTTTAGTTCCCACCATAGGACCCATGGAAGACCACAGAGTGAGGCGACGGGGGGGGGGGGTCTTCTTCCCTCTGGGAGTCCTTTCCACTTTTCTTAATAGATGTGTGTTCGTTCTACTCTCTCCTGGTCTGCATTTCTTATTCTTCAGAGACAATGAGCCCAGAAGCCACTGGCTCAGGACGGCTTTGATGACTGTGATCATCCAGTACTCTAGATCCCTGGGTTAAGCTTACTAAGAGCCAAGAAAAGTTCCATTGCTCTCAAAGAACCCACATCAAAAGGACACTATCAACAGAGTGGAAAGGCAACCCACCATAAATCATTGAGCCGCTGGTAAGAATACAACAGCCCGACATCAGAAAACAGACACCTTCACCCGAGGACTTGAACAGACACTTCAGAGAAATGATCCAGTGACCAGTGCAACCATGGAAAGACTAGCATCACTGGGCACTGGAGAAAAGCAAAACAAAAGCCACCAAAAGTAGCCGCGCGATAGTGACATAAGCCTTTAATCCCAGCACTCAGGAGGCAGAGACAGGTGGAGCTCTGTGAGTTTGAGGCCAGCCTGGTCTACAGAGTGAGTTCCAGGACAGGCCCCAAAGTTATAGAGAAATCCTTTCTCCAAAAACAATAAAATAAAAACAAAAATGAACCAAAAACTCCCACCAACAGTAAGAAAGTCAGGTGTACTGGTGCAAGCCTACAATCCCAGAACTCATAGGCAGAGGCAGGAGGATCTCAAGTTACTACCAGCCTGGATTACATACCCATACTCTGCCTCAAAACCCGACCCAAGCCAGGCATAGGTGGCGCACACCTTTAATCCCAGCAATCAGGAGGCAGAGGCCAGGGATCTCTATGAGTTTGAGGCCAGCTTAGTCTACATAGTGAGTTCCGGCCTACCTGGCTTGTGAGGTGTTAGAGACATGGAAATCCCTGTGCTCTACTGTTGAGAATATAAACTAGTGTAGCCTCTGTGGGAAGCAGTGTGGCGTTATTCAAACATCTCTTAGAGTTTGGTCGTAATCACTCCCCCTCCGACACACTTCCTGCCCCCACTCCTCTTCCTACTCACCCTTCCTGTCTTCTTAACTAGCCCCCCTTTCCGCTTTCATACCGTGTGTGTGTGTGTGTGTGTGTGTGTGTGAGATCCCCAGAGGTCATGAGGGCCGTTTACAGAAGTGTGAGCACCTCACCAGGGTACACTATCCTGAAGAAAATGCCTCTCTGTCCTCCATCAACCAGTTTGACTTCAAACATGTCCTTACAGGGAAGTGAGACCTCCGAACTCTTCCTCTTGTTTGTCTTTCGAGACGGGGTCTCTAGCTCTCTGAGTAGGCAAGGATAACCTCGGGCTCCCCATTTCCCTGCTTCCATCTCCTGACTTTACAAGTGGGTTCTACTGTTATTATTATTTATTTTGTGTGCATTGGTGTTTGTGTGAGGTGTCGGGTCTCGGAGTTACAGACAGTAGTTGACTGCCATGTGGGTGCTGGGAATTGAACTTGGGTCCTCTGGAAGGGTCATCAGCACTCTTAATCAGTGATCCATCTCTCCAGCTCCTACACCTACAAGTAGATTTTTTTTTTTTGAGACAGGGTTTCTCTGTAGGTTTGAAGCCTATCCTGGAACTAGCTCTTGTAGACCAGGCAGGCCTTGAACTCACAGAGATCTGCCTGTCTCTGCTTCCTGAGTGCTGAATGTGCCACACTGCCCAGCATAAGTGGATTCTTATATGGTATGGGGGATCAAGTCTAGGGCTTCATGTATGTTAGCTGAACTAGACGAGTGTGTGTGTGTGTGTGTGTGTGTATTTTGTTTGTTTTTGTTTTTTGAAACAGGATTTCTCTGTGTAACATCCCAGGCTGTCCTGGAACTCAGGAACTCACTTTGTAGACCAGGCTGGCCTCAAACTCAGAGATCCATCTGCCTCTGTCTCCCAAGTGCTGGGATTAGAGGTGTGCACCACTACCACCTGGCTTCAGACTCGTATGTTATTGATTGATTTTTATTTTAAATGGTCACCTGTAGCCCAGGCTATCATCAAACTGCCTATATAGATGAGGATGACTTTGAGTTTTGTGTGATTAGGTTTCAAAGTTGCTCACTTGAGGAATTGTATTATAGCCTTAAGGGATGTGGGAAGATCCATCCCATATGTAGGTGGCACTTTCTGGTAGCATCCTAGAAAAAAAGGGCATGGCAGAAGAAAGAGCCTTTGCTAACTTGGCCCCTGGCTCTCTTAGCCTTCCTCTTGCCGAGTTAACTTTCCCTGTTGTTGAAGCTGAGCCCTCCACAGACCTTAGGATCAGCATTTCCGCACATCCACGTGATGAAGGAACCCTCCAGCGGTTGGCACTCAACTGGGACTGCTGAGGCTCCCAGCCTCAGGAACTGAGCAACTTCTGGATCCTGCACCTCTTTAGTGTGAGACAGCCACTGTGGAAGCACCCCAACTGCTGACACACCCCACTTCTAGGACAAGGCACCTCCCAGAGCCTCAGCCTCTCGGGCGGTATTATTTCAGTGTCAACTGATCTAATCAATTACACATTTATTTTCTCCTATCAGCTCTGCTCTGCTGGAGAACCCTGACTCATTAATGAATGCACTCCAGGTCCTCCTGCCACCAGCAAACAAGTACTTCCATGTCCAATCTCATTCACCCTCATCGAGAATGTTTTAAACATGGTTACCCAGCCTAGGATAGTGTGCTGGTTGTTTTTCGTCCACTGGGCACAAACCTAGACATGTCTGGGAAGAAGGAGTCTTAACTGAGAAAATGCCTCTGTGAGATTGGCTTGTAGAAAAATTTATGGGTAGTGCTTTGATTAAGGATTGATGTGGGCAAGTCCAGCTCACTGTGAGTGGTACCAACCCTGAGCAGTTGCCTGAATGGTATAAGAAGAAGCAGTCTGAGCAAGCCATGAGGAGTAAGCCAGTAAGCAGCACTCCTCCATGGCCTCTGCTTTGGTTCCTGCCTCCAGGTTCCTGCCTTTGGTTCCTGCCCTGACTTCCCTCGGTGATGGGGTGTGATCTGTGAATTATAAGATGAAATAAACCCTTTCCTCCCCAGTCGCTTTGCTCACAGTGTTCTCTTACAGTAGTAGAAACCTAACTAAGACAGACAGCTCTGCATATAATTGAAAATGAAAGAAAAAAATTATGGCCCTGAAAACCCGTCAATAACGGATAACCTGTTCTACATCTAAGGTTGGACCAAGTGTTCATCCACATGACAAAAGTATAATGACATCAGCAGAGGGCGTGAAAGGGTCCCCAGGCGTCCAGATATCGGAAATCTAATCGCCAAATACCTATGCTAATGATATTTTGGAGGAAGGGCCTCTGAGAGTTAGTTAGCATTTGATAACATCATGAAGATTAGACACCACGAAAGTTCCCAGGAAGTGCCCACACCACACACTTCTCACTTCAGAGCTGTGGGCCACAGGAACATCAGCTCTCAAGATGGACCCGGTAGCTCACATCCCAGCACTTGGGAGGCAATGCAAGTTCGAGCCCACCTGGGTTGTCTAGGGAGACTTGTCTCACACAGACAGACAGACAAAACAAAACATCAGTGATAGCAGCAAGTGGCAAGATAGCTCGGGGGTAAAAGTGCTTGCTGCCAGGCCTGACCGCCTGAGTTCAGTCCCCGGTACCCATATGGGAGAAGGAGAGGACCAATACCCACAAAGTGTCCACTGAGCTGCCCATGCACCTTGGCATGCATGTGTCTCTCTCTATGCACACAAAAATCAATCAATCAATCAATCAATGTGCTTTACTTAGGCTTTTACGTTTTTATTTTATGTGTTTTGTGTACACATGTGTGTATACCTCATGTGTGCTTGGTGTTCAGGGAGGTCAGAAGAGGCCCTAAGAACTGAGCCCCGATTCTCTGAAGTGCAGCAAGTGCTCTCAACTGCTGAGTCATCTCTCTAGTCCCTGGAAGCTTACTATTCCGTATGTATGTTTTGTCTACATATATGTCTATCCATCATGCGATGCCCACAAAGGTCAGGATAGAGTCTCAGATCCATGGGACTAGATTATAACCGACATTAATAGATAATTAATGCCCAGTGAGATAACCCAGCAGTTACTTCAAGACATCCATGTACGCATTGTGGCACATGCATGCCTACACACACACACACACACACACACACACACACACACACACACACCATACCACTACTAATAATAAGTCAATAAAATAATAAAACAAGGACAACTAAACTCAAAGCACATATGACCACATGGAAGGATCTGGTAATAGTGAAAGGTGGATCTGTCCTTGTTCACAAAACAAAAACAAAAACAAAAACCCTTCTAGGTATTTTTATATATTTGAGATGTTTTCTACTTAAGAAAAGAGAGAGACTTAGGGACCTAGGGGATGGTTCACCTACTGTGTTCCTGAGTATCAGCAACATACAATTCAGTAATATAGTCTTCTTGATTGAGACAGGGTCGCACATAGCCCAGGCTAGCCTCAGACTCATTCTACACCCAAGGATGGCCTTGAATTCCTGGTTCTCCTGTCGCAGTCTCCCAACAGCTGGCGTTAAAGGAGTGTGAAATCATTCTTAACTTAATTTTTAAAGCCCTACTGTTTAGAATGTCTAGAAAATTGGGCTGGGAGTGTAGCTCAGTTGGTGGAGCGTTTGCCTAGGCCATGGGCTCCATTCTCAGCATTCCATCCCCCAGGGATGGTGGTTAGGCAGGCGAGCAAAGGAAATAGCTTGACTTGGGCCCCCCAAGTTTGGAGTTGTGCATACCCTGTCCTGCAATAACACACTTGGTGGTCTGGTTCCTTCACCTGTACCCACTATGTGCATGTGCTCTTCTGTAAGCAATGTATCTTGCAGCCTTTGAACACCCCCGTATAGGGCTACATGTACTCTTCACTCTGTATATGTTTCCCCACCCCTGGTGACATTCAGATTTAGACAGGTCTGTACAAGTGTGTTTCCAGCACACCTGAGTGTGAAGGACAGAAGGGCTGATCTGATCTAAAGTGGCTTTGGGTGCATGACAGAAAGGCAAAACACTGTCCTCTGGTAATATCTTACGGAGAATCCTCTACCATCTCATGTCTCTGCATAATTGGGTGGGCAGATGACTAGAAACAGGTGCATTATGGGAAGGGACATGCAAAGCAGAGAATGATTATATAGTCTAATTAATAGAGAACCACCCAAGTGTACCACCTAGTAAGTCACTCCTCCCTCTCTTAAACCCCATAAAGGAAGCCTGGGACAACAATCAGGGCTCTTGAGTGTTCTCACTTGTGTAGCCCCCTGTCAATCATGATAATGTCTCCCTGGATAACCTGCAGTATTGCTTTGCTTCTGATGAAGTTATCTTGCTGCTTCTGCACGTCTGTGTGGTCCTTGATTTTCAGTTCTTTGGATAAAAGACCAAGAGCCTGGCAAGAGCAGGCCCAGACCATGACCTTTGCTAACAGTAGCATACACCTGTATTTAGCACAGGTGCTAACAATGGAAGGTGGAGGCAGAGGGACCAGAGGTTAAAGGTTATCCTTGGCTACTCAGTGAGTTCAAGGCCACCCTGGGTTATTTGGGACCCTGTCTCAAACAAAAACAAACCATCAAAGAAATGAAACAAACAAGAAAACTAAAGTGATGTATCTAGAAACCAGGTTGCAGGTGTGTGGAAATACATCTAAGAGAAGGCACTTCTAGGAAAAGCCAGGGGGAGAGAGAGCTGTACTGGCTTGATAGGAGCTCAGTGGGAGGGGAACAAACTCACTTGGGGTTCTACACACTGCTTGCCCAACACCTGGCTCTGTGTGAAGGGCTCTGAGTTCTCTGATCCTGAAATCTGTGCTTCTACAATGGGACATTTTTCACATGCCTGACAACAGAGTCATTCCTGTGACATCTCATGGTAAAGGCCAGATGAGAGGTGACCTCAATGCTCATCATTCTAGACTGGGTTCTGACACTGACTTGTGACCTGGCCCCAGGCTAGCATGCCCTAACTATCTGGGAGTGCAATCTTAATAGGAAGAAGGAAGGGAAGAAAGGGAAGGAGAGAGGAAGGGAGGGAGAGCGGGAGGAAACAGCATTAATGTTATTCCTTATCCCTTAGTTAACGTTAATTTTTTTTATTTTTAAGTGTGTGTGTGTGTGTCGGTGAAGACCAGAGGCATCAGATCCCCCTAGAGTTGGAACTGAAGACGACAGTGAGGCATCCAACATGGATTCTGGGAACTGAACTCAGGTCCTCTGGAAAAGCAAGAAGTGGTCTTAACCACTGAGCCATCTGCCCAGCCCGACCTTCCACCTTCTTAGAAAAAAAAAATGGAAGCTGAGGTCAGGTGTACTGAACCCCAACCTGTGATCCAAGCTCTAGGGAGGTAGAGGCACAGAAGGACAAAGTACAAGGTCGTTCTTGTCTACATAGTATGTTCAGAAGCAGCCTGGGTTACACGAGACCCTGTCTTACATGAACACCCATATCCCAGAAGTTCGGAGGCTCAGACAGGAGGATTGCCATGAGTTAGAGGCCACCAAACCAGCCTGGGCTACAGAGTGAGACTCTGTGTCAAATAGACAAATCCAAACACGGCCCTTCACTGTACAGATGAGAAAACTGAACCTCAGACAAAGGCAGACGCCGAGGTCCAGGCCCAGGACTGTTTCCTGGTTCCTCCTGTGCCCGCAGCTAAACCCCGTAGTCCCAGTTCCTTGGGCTCTGTCTCCCTCTGTCTGCTCCCAGAGTCTCTCTATCTTCCTGGCCTTTCTCAGGCCTGTTCAAAGAACTCTGGGGGAGGAGGGGTCCTCCCGGGTCCTCCCAGGTCCTCCCTGAAGTGTGGCTGCCTCTGCTGCCTGTCTTGGAGAATCCTGGGGCCTTGGCAGTGCTGTGGCCAGCCTTGGCCTATCCAACAACAGACATTTGTCAAACAGCGGCCGTCTGGGAAGAGGGAGGTATGTTTACCTAGGGCAGGGCCCAGGCAGGGGCTGTGGCTTCCTTCCCACACCACAAACCTAGCCATTTGCTCCATACGCGGACGATACTGTCCTCATCTGTTTGCACAGTCTGAAAATATCTGTGGAGCACCTACTGAGTGCTGTCCACGCTGTTGCAAATTTCACCGACATCTGGACACAAACACAAGGCCGGAAGGGCAGGGCAGGCCTGGAATTCTAGCTGAGAGTGGAGGATGTGAATTTCAAGGCCTCCCTGGGCTCTACGAGGCTGTCTTGGAGGTAAATAAGAAGAGCTAGACTTGGTTGTGTGAGTCTAGAATCCCATGCTTGGAAAGTGGAAGGAAGTTGGGGGATCAGAGTTCAAAACCAGCTGCAGCCATCATAGCAAACTGAAGGCTAGCCTGGGCTACTGGAGATGCTGTTCCTAAATAAATTAAGAAGAAAAAATTTAAAGAGTGAAGAAAAGGAGGAAGGGAGTTGGAACAGATGTCAGAAGGCTGTGGGGGGTTAGGGCAGCATTAGAGAGGCTTAGGGCATCACTGTGCCAACAGGTTCCTGCTGGGTACTCCAGGGCAGTGGGTCTCAACCACCCCAGTGCCGTCGCTATGTTGTGGTGACCCACCAACCAGAAACATTGTTTTGGTGCTGCCTTATAAACTGTGATTTTGATATCATTATAAATCATAACATAAATACCTGTGTTTTCAGATAGTCTCAGGCGACCCCTGTGGAAGGGTTCGTCCACCCAAAAGGGGTCAAGACCCACAGGTTAATAACCACTGCTCTGGAGCTTGGTGTTCCGTGGATAATAAATCCTGGCTCTTCGCTGTGGCCGTAAAGACCACGCAAGATCTGAGCTTGTCTGAGGGTCTGCTTTCTTTGCCCCTGGTGCTAACCTCTTTCCTGCTACACTGGCCTTCTTATCAACACTCAACCCTCACCCTTCCCAACCTTAGCCCTGAGCGCTAGACTCATCCCTTCCTCAGGCTCTTCGTGTGTGCTGCTTCCTCTGCCAAAGGACCTCCTTCCTCAGCTTTCCAGAGCTGATTTCTTCTCGTAATTTGGATTGGCTCTCATATGAGCTGTTTGTCCCTCATCTTCACCG